TTGTGAGAAACTCGAACTGATGCATGATGTTGCAATATAATGGTATCTACAGTGTACATGTCTGGTTAACTTATAACGTGAGCACTGTGCTAAACTTGTGCAGAAAAGAGTTAACATAGCAGGCACAAGATTGCTATCTTTGGAAAGCCCTGTTTCCAGGGTTGGCCCGTGGCTGGTGTGTAGGGACTTGGTTTCCCTTTCTTCCCTGATAAGTATAGTTTACTTTGCCTAGATTGTTGGTACAAATAATGTGATTTATGCCGAGTACCTGCTTTCTTTCATAGAGTCTGGCATTTTGGTACATGCTAGGCAGAAGGTGCCTAAGTGACCAGTCCCCAGTAAAAACCTTGGGTACTGAGTCTTTAATGGGCTTCCCTGGCCAGAAATTTACCCATATGTTGATGCATTTTCTGTTGCTGAGAGAAAGGAGCATACCTCCACACCATAGGAAAAGAGCTTAAGGAAGTCTGTGCATGAATTTCTCTAGATTCCTGTGTCTTTTTCCTTTGCTGATCCTATTCTGCATCCTTTCACTGTAATAAACTTAGCTGTCAGTAAGACTGTATGCTGAGTCCTCTGAAGCCTTCTGTTGAATCACTGAATCCATGAGTGGTCTTGGGAGCCCTGAAACATAATTGCATTACATAATCTCAATTCTTCAAACATCTGTGTCTCTTACGGGCAAGGACTCCACAGTTACTTGGATTAAGCCAACTTCCCTAGGATCTCATTTCATAGGAGAAGGAATCCAAATCTGTCTGACCCCAAAGCCTTGGCTCTTGACTATTATGCTGCATTGCCTCCCAATACCAGAAATTGTGTCTACAGTGGATTGAAAGGAGGCAATGAAAGATCATTCAGGGCCATAGTGGTCTGAGACTGCTTCATACAGGAAGTAAGATTTGAGTTGGTCTTGAAAGATAAAAGGACCAGATTAAAATTGATGAAGTGGAGTGTGAAGAGTATTGTCAGTAGGTAGAACTGCATAATATAAAGGCATGCAAATGGTAAAATGTAAGATTTATTTGGGAGAAAGAGAATATAATAGTTGGGTTAGATGGGGGGTTTACATTATAAGGGATTTTTTCACACTTTTTTTTTTAAAGAAACCTTTGGCAACTGCCACTTCTTATCTATGTTATAGTTTGGCATAAGATAATATATTTAATCTAACACATAGCTATGTATTTAAGCTAAATAAATGAGATAGTATATTTGCTTAAGGTTAATAAATAAGATAATGTATCTGTTCTGCAAAGACAACCATGACTACTAAGGGCTTTGCCACCTAAACAAGTTGAAAACCCACTATTGTTAGTATTAAGAAACTATTAAAGTTTGGTGTGTTTTTTTGAGCTGAGGAGTGAAATGCTGAAAATGACATTTAACTGATATTAATCTGGTGGCAATGTGAAGAGTGTATTGGCTGGGGCCAGGGAGTGAATCTGTTTAGGTCATTGCAATCATAGCAGTCCATGTATGACAGGATTAAGAGCTTAGAGAATTGTGGAAATGAAAATAGATGAGAGATGTTATGTAGGATGAATTGTCATAATATGATAATGAACTGGATATGTGTGTGTTTGTGGGGAGAGCCAAAAGATCTGAGTCTGGGTGGTTTGGAGAAAATGTGGCATCTTTAACAGAAATACAATATTCAGGCCAGATGTCATGCCAAGACATGACAGGTTTGATTCTAGGTGTATTGAATTGAACAATTTTTTGACATTGAAGTGGAAAAACACGTTTGGGAGCTGGTTGTGGGGTTGGATTGAAGAGAGATCAAGATTTGAGATGAGAAAGAAACTTACAGGTGGGTGATTACTATCTGAACATAGAAATCACCTTGAGGGGAAAACAGAAAAGAACACCAAGGACTGAACTCTGGTTTTATTCATTTCATAAATAAGGACTGAATATTAAAGAGCACCTTTGAAGTTAACAAGTAGTGTTACTACCTATCATAAAAACACATTTGTAGAGGACTTCTTTTAATGTGTATTGGTTGGGTAATTTTTAAAAAGTCTGTAAACTTCAATATATGAATAACTCTCCAATGAAATCAATAAATGTTCCTTCCGTGTGTGAAGCACAGTTAGGCACTGAATAACTTTCAAATAACATTTCTTCCTTCTCCAATGGCATATTGTTCTTGGTAACTTTTGGAAGGTGTGTGTACATAGACCTTTCAGTTGCCTACTTAGCAGTAGTCTTGCCTCAGCCCCTGTTTCATTTAAATACTTGGTTTGGTTAACAACAACAACAAAAAAAGATACAGAGAACAGAGTAGTGGTTACCAGAGTGGGAGGAATAGGGTGAGGGTGAAGTGGGTAAAGGAGGTCAACTGTATGGTGACGGATGAAAACAAAATTTCTGGTGGTGAGCACACTGTAAGGTGTACAGAAGTAGAAATATAATGTAGTACACATGAAACTTACATAATGTATAGATCAATGTTATCTCAATAAAAAAAATACTTGGTGTGTTAATTATTTCTTCCTTCACTTAAGTGGCATCAAGATCACTTGTTCCACCAGATTCGTACACAAGAAAAATCCTGATTCGGTTTTCCCTTAGTGCAGAAATGTTCTTAAGTATTTTGTAGATGAGTTCATAGTGTCCTTTTTTTTTTTAAAGATTCCACATATGAGTGATATCATATGGTATTTTTCTTTCTCTTTCTGGCTTACTTCACTTAGAATGATGATCTCTAGGTCCATCCATGTTGCTGCAAATGGCATTATTTTATTCTTTTTTTAAGGCTGAGTAGTATTCCATTGGATAAATATACTACAACTTCTCTATCCAGTCATCTGTCGATGGACATTTAGGTTGCTCCCATGTCTTAGCTATTGTATATAGTGCTGCTGTGAACTTTGGGGTGAATGTTTGAATTAGACTCGCAGACATAGTAAACAATCATGGTTACCAGGGAAAGGGGGTGGGAAGGGATAAATTTGGGAGTTTGAGATTTACAAATGTTAGCCACTATATATAAAAATAGATTTTTAAAAGTTTCTTCAGTACAGCACAGGAACTATGTTCAATATCTTGTAATAACCTTTAATGAAAAAGAATATGAAAACAAATATATGTATGTATATGCATGACTGGGAAATTGTACACTAGAAATTGACACACTGTAATTGACTGTACTTCAACAGCAAAAAAAGAAATGTTCTTAAGTGAATGACATTCAAACTTAGCTCTGTGCAACAAGTTTTTTTTAGAGACTAAAGGGAATGAGCACAAAAATACTCCTAAAAGAAGCTACATGGGCAAAAATGCTGGCACTAATTTGGATATGTTTCTGGCCATCATCTTTTTATTCCTACCTGCTGACATTTTTCCAGGGTAAGAACATAATCTATAAAGGCTTCCGCTCCAGAGCCTTCCCCAACATTTTTGTGCCATTTGTTCTCTCACAGGAGTTGACAGAGAATTAGATAAATGTACAGAGAGGTAACAGGAAAATGATACTTTTATTATATGCTGACTTGTATGTCCTTGGGCTTTAAGTCTCAGAAAAGTAGGAATTCCAACAAGATTGGTATGTCATTTTGTTACATCATGGTTGCCCCAAATTAGCAAACACATTATTTTTATAAAGCTCTTTTATATATGAGAATGTGTTCTACTTAATTCATTAAACTCTTCCTAAGCAATTTTCACTAATATGTTTCCATTTAATTTTTAATTTCTTTGAACATAAGCCTTCAGTAGCTCAGGGGTCATAGAGAATAACAGACTATGTATAAGTAATCATTGAGAATATCATGTTTCTCCTTATTAAGCAATTTTCTCATCCATTTCCCAGTATGTTGCATGGGTTGGCACGGTATAGTGGAAAGCACACTGACCAAATAGTCTGGATACCTGGGTTCTCACTGCAGCATATAACCTCAGCTATTTGCCTCCTGGCTCCCAATCTTTCCATCCAAAAAATAGAGCAATACTTGTTGAACCTTCAAAGAAGCTAAAGAAAACTACTTTGAAAGTGTTAATATGGAGGCTTCTTGCATTATCTTTTTACATTTTCCATAATTTTTCACAATTAAAAAAAAGTACCATAACAATTGAGAAATTTTCACATTAATTAAATCCCTGGAGATGTTATTGTGCTTAAATTTCACAACTGTATTTCCTAAAGTTCACTTTAGACCCACTTTGTAAGTTTTGACATGTAAATCAGAGGAATTTTATGAATCTTTTCTGTAAGAAAGGTTTAGTAAGGGTGTATAATAATACTAAATAATTTAAAGACTTAGTGTGATGTTCAGATTAGGAAACTTTTCACTGATGGAGACATCTGTAATTGATTTCTTTCATCTATTTGGACATCTTGTGCTCCAGAACTCATGAGGCTCACAAACATCTGCATCCTTGTTTCTGCCATTCTAGATACACATTCTTTTTATCATTAACAAACAGAAATGTTTGTTAAAAAATGAAATGGGAGATTCTGGTTTCCTGAAGCTTGTTGAAAGTCAGTATAGTATATTGAAAATAGAGAGTTCTTGTCTCGGATTCAGAGTTCTAGGCCTGGCTCTGCTGGTAACTAATTGCAAGAACTCAGGCTTGTCAATTTACTTTTTCTGGGCCTCATTTCCGCCATTATAAAACAAGTGGTTTGGATTGGACTTCTAAGGTTCTTTCTACTTTTAACATTAATTGTTTTCTAACTCTTCTTTCTAAGTGTCTGTCTGAGGAAACTGATGAAAAGATTAGGGTTGATACTAATTTTTTGAGATATTATTTATTATATTTGACTTATACCTAAGATGACCATATAATTTACTGTCCAAACAAGAGGAACCTTTTGAGGGTGAAAGGGATGCTGTTAGTAAATACACCAGAGCAGCAGCTTTAAATCAGAACTGTCCCAGATAAGCTAAATGTCTGGTTACCTTATCTGTGGTTCTGCATTATTGGCCAAAAAAGAGTATTTATTTATCACTTTGAATTCCTTTCCATGGTTTCTCTGGTTTTTTTCCTTATAGATCCGCTGTGTGTGGAAAGTAGTGCAGCGTCATGCCAGCAATCTCCAGCTAGTAAAAAAGGGATGTTCACAGATGACTTGCACAAATTGGTGGATGACTGGACAAAGGAAACAGTAGGAAGTTCTCTTATTAAGCCAAGTTTAAACCAACTTAAACAGAGTCAACAGAAACTAGAGACAGACAACTGGAACAAAGTACAAGAAGTAAGTTGTTTATACCTGATCTTCTTTATTTATGAGAACTAAAAACCATAAAAACTGATTCACTTAGGCCTGTGGTTACAGTCACTATGAGAGAGTGGTGTGACTTGACAACATAGACACTTTTATCCTTGTCTAAATTCATTATGTCTTTGAGCAAAGTATCTTTTAGACCCTGGGGTCAGCAAACATTTTCTGGGAAGGGGCCAGTTAATATTTTCATGCCATGTGGTTGCAACTACTCAACTCTGCAAAAGCAGCCCTAAACAAGTGGGTGTGGCTTTATTCTATTAAAACTTGATTTGCAAAAAGCAGTGGCAGGCTGTAGATTGCTGACCCTTCTTTTAGACTATTTTATAGCTAAAAAAAATCAAGTGTCAAAAAAGAAAGTATATGGAGTGAGGGTTAATTCAATCCTGTGGTACAAGAAGAGTTTGGGTTTTGAAGAAAAGCTATCTTATATTGTACATCAATGTTCTCAGAGCCAATAAGTTGTCTTATGTGTTTAGTATGAAAAAGACTTTTAAAGGCCTTTAAGCTAGAATATTATAAAAGGTGCCTTAAGTTTATGGACAAGATGCCTAGTTAATTGCATATGGCCTTAGGCATATGTAGAATGTAGAAAGATGTCCACAGTGCATTCTTAGAGTGGGAAGAAGACAGGCCCATAGAAGAGTATATATAGTATTTATTTATGTAAAAGTATATATATGTATATATGCATAGAAATAGGAAAATCCATTAAAATATGCTGGATGGTGGAATTTGGGCCTTATTTTACTTTGTACTTTTCTGTGTTTGAATTTTTAAAGTATGATTTTTTCAAAATGAGTAAATCTACAAAAATGTGATTCAGGGCTTAGACTCTCAACCCATATAATTGAAAGAGATATATCTGTATGTGTGTGTCTGTTACATATGTGTAGGGTGTTTGTGTGTATGTATATATATGAGTGTGTATATATATGTATGTGTATATATAGTCATTGCATATGGTTTGGTAAAGAAAGCCTGAAAATACATTTAGTGTTAACATTGAATAAAAATTTTCAAAACCCTAGATTTTCCAAACTGGTAAGCAGTGTAATCTACTTGAGGACTCTGTGTATTTATCTTTTTCCTGGCACCAATTTATACACAGATAGTATCACCATTGTAAAAATTGGAAGCCTTTAGAGGCAAATTTCAAAGCATAAATACATTTGTGCTGCCAGTGAAAGATCCTCTGAGTACTGTATAAATGGAGGCTTTTGTTGAGAGTAGGAGGGTGGTTTATTGCAGTATAATGGCGGCTGTTTGGAGGAAGAGTGAGTAGAAAATGTAGTATGAATAAAAGTGGTGAAGATTCTTAAACAGACTTGGGTTCCAATATCAGCTCAGTCATTTACTAGTTGTGTGACTTTAGACAAGTCATTTGTGCCTCAGTTTTCATGTCTTTAAAACAGAGTAATCCCAGGTAGGGATACTACCTACCTGCCGTACAGGATTGCTGTGAGGATTAAATGAGGTAACACCCATAAAGTGCCTAACACATACTGGTATCCTATATATGGTAACTCTTTTTGTATTTTTAGGTTCAGTTGATTATATCTTTGTGTAGAGAGCCCACGTTGCATGTTACTGTTCTGTAGCCTTAGAAAATTTTTTCATAGTTATATGCCAGGTCCTTTGCTGTGTGCCAGGCCCTTTGCTAGGCACTGGGTTTGATTAGCAAAAACAAGTATTTTTTTCCCTATTCTTATGGAACTTTTATGCTGGTGGGACAGTTAGATATGAACAGGCTTAGCTAAATAAATATAAAATTGCACTTCTAATAGGGACTACAGAGGAGAAATATAGGATACCATACAGTAAGGAAAATTTGACCTAGTAAAGGGAAGTTAAGGAAAGCTTCCCTGAGAAAGGGATGATTGAGCAGAGTTCTGAAGGATGAGTAGGTGTTAACCAGGCAAAAAGGGGAGGAGATATGATTCTAAACAGAACAACATATGCAAAATCCCTATATGGGGAAACGGAGCATGACGGGATTGAAAGTAGGCAAGTTTGGCTGAAGTGAAGAAAACCAAGAGGAGCTGCTGCACAGTGAATCTAAGGAGGTAGGTAGCACCTTAGTGATGGTGACGATAAGGAACTTTGTCTTTATTTTAAGAAAGATGGATAGTCATTGAAGCCCTAGGTTTGACATGATCAGATTTGTTTTCTGGAAAGATCACTGGCTTGAAACAAGAAGAAAGATTATTAAAAAAAAGAAGAGAGATTATTGGAGATAAGGGTAGATGTTGGTAGACCAATTAAGAGTTAGTCACAGTAGTCCAGATAAAGAAGTTGAGATGAAGGGAAGTAAACAGATTCCAAGAAATGTATAAGAGATAAAATGGACTAGAATTGGTGTTTGGCAGAGGAGAGGTGTCAAGGCTAGGTTTCTGGCTGCTCTAACTGGTTATCATTCCAGCATACCAGTTGTCAACATGGGGAACATGAGCAGCCAGTGTGTTTTGGTAGAAGAAGGATCATATGTTTGGTTTTGGTCATTTGAATCTGAGATGTTTTTGAAATGTCCAAGAGAAGATTAAGTGTAACAAGTCATCAACAATTTAGGCTTTTTAAAAAATAAAATCACATTGTTATTGTAAAATATTAATGTTTGTTATAAAATTTAATTAATGCAGAAAAGTACAAAAATTTAAAATACCACCTTTAAATCCTACCACCCAGAAATAATTGTCACTAACTTTAGTTAAACATAATTTCAGGTGTCTTTCTATGTCTGTATATGGATGCATAGAAATAGCTTTATAAAAATGTGACCATACCATATGTGCTATTTTTAAAATCAGTAGCATTGAATTTAATTACACTTTAAAGAACAGAAACTGATATGAAAAAGGGATTGCTGAACTTTAAATAAATGTGTTTTTTTTTACCTTAAGAGATCTTGTCATTCATTCTTGAGTCAAGCTAAAAACCTTTACCCTAACTTTAGTTTGAAACTTCAGTTGAAATAAAGGGTTTTAGCTTGACCATCAATTTAGAAGAACTAAGAATTTGGGATTGGTACGAAGCTCTCCTTTAAGTGAGATTATTTACTTCTATTAGACTTATTATTCCCATGTGCATAAGATTTCAGTAATCTCTATACATATGCATAATCATGATATGATAAGGGTCAGGCAGGAATATATTATCTCAGTGTTGCAAAAAAACCATAATTGTCTGAAATTTAAATTTGTAAAAATATAACAGAAATGTCAGACTTTAGATAGTAGAAGAGGATAGGGAGGTGATATTTATTGGGCACCTACTATATGCTAGGCTCTTTCCTCTGTACCACACTCAATCATCCTCTGTCTCTAAAGAATTATGTATTAAGATGGGCTGTTGTCTGTGTCCCTGGATGAAAGAATGCCTGGGACTAACAAATAGAAGTAAAAATAGAAGAGTAGTGCTAGCATGAGGAAAGGAGACACTAAACTGTGAACAGAGATTGGGGTTAGCTGGAACTATGTTCAAATCCTCACCTTGCTATTAGCTTGATTAGTAGTGTTGGGTGTTTTCAATTTTGAGCTTCTGTTTCCTCATCTAAAAATGCCTACCTTGCAGGGCAGTTATGAAGACGAAATGAAATAAGGTATATAACTGCTTAGCACACAGAAAAGTACTCCAAAAATGGTAGCTACTCGGAATAATACTGGGAGAGTAGTAAGCCAAAAAAGAATAGGAAGGAATAGAGATGGGTAAAAGCATCTACCAAATAAACTGATCTTTGTTTTTATTTTTGTTTTTGTTAGAATACTCCATCTACTATGGGCTACACATCAACATGGATTCCTTCTCTGTCCCAAATCCGTGGAGCTGTCCCAACCTCCTTGCCACAAGGACTCTCACTCCCTTCATTTCCCGGGCCATTATCATCATATGGAATGCCCCATGTTTGTCAGTATAATGCTGTTGGGGGGCCAGGGTATCCAGTACAGTGGGTAGGAATTTCAGGAACACCACAACAATCTGTAGTAATTCCTACCCAGTCTGGGGCACCATTCCAGCCGGGGATGAATTTGCAGGCGTTTCCAGCTTCATCAGTGCAGAATCCATCCACGATCCCTCCTGGTCCCAAATGAATCAGAGTAGATGATGAAGAAAAGGGAAATTTTTTTTCAGAATTATTTTCAGGACACCTGAAATATTAAACTTTCTTCTTCTTGAGTTCTGCCATATTTTCCCTAATTTGAGTTTACTTTCCACTGTATTTTTTTTTGGTTCCAATGTAGTATTTGATATAGCTCATCATCTTATAGAACTGTGCAGTTTGTACATAGAACACTGCACCCAGAAATGTTTTTTCACTTCAAATCCTATCCTCTTTGATACTTGATTTTTTAAAAATACCGTTCAGAATGCTTTAATAAGCTCGGCTTGAGCATTACCATTTCCAGGACACTTTACATGCATTGCTGAGAAGCTCCCATTTTTTATTGCTGCTCTCTGCAGCTGGATGATACTTTTCTTTAAAAGATGTAAAAACTAAATTGATACTCCCCAAATGTGGACGAAGTGAGACCCTCTAACAGCCGGAGTCTTACGCGATTCTTCACATGTTTATCTTAGGTTTACCTTTCGCAGAAGGCAGGGTAACTTGCTGCAGGAAATGTTTTGGTGTATAAAATTAGAATAACTTTGTCAACCAATATAGGCCATGAGCCCTTTTTAATGTGATTTTCTTCCCGTCGTCACAGCAGTAGGAGTGAAGCCTTGTTTTAGGTGAGGCGGAGAGAAAGGAAAAAACAGAACTGTAACAGTTCCTTGATTCTGCAGATACTGTAGCTGCTTTAGGATTTCCATAGTAATTCAGAGCAGCTATTTCCTTGTTTCTCATGTGCACTCTACATTGTTTTTGAGCATCTGAGAGGCATTGATTTGGGTTGCATTCTTTTGCAAGGGGTATATTGCAGCTGATATGAATCTCATTTGGGGGGAATCTTTGTATTCCTAACAAAGAGGATTCAAGTTACACCTCTATTAATCCATTCTTCTGAAGTGAAATTTACTTGACACAGTAGGTTTTGTAGGTTTTGAGACTTACACATGAAAACACTGGCTTTACAGGGTTCTAAGCGATGTGGGGTATACACTGTCCTGCAGTAGATAGTAGACCCTCAAAGGATACTATTTAAGTTGCCCTTAGCTTTTTTTTATTACCATTTTTTTTAGTTGTTACAGTTTCCTATTAGTATCTATAGCATCTTAGATGATTTTAGGTCTTAGATGATTTTGGCAGCCTCTTTAGAATCTGAGAGAGATCACTGTCAAGTTGCACTTTACTGGGTTTTATCCAGTTTTAGGAGGAGAGGAGGCAATGTCAAAATATACATTTTTGGTTTTCAAGAAGGTTAACTGTAATAATCTTAAAAGGCTGGTCACAGAGTTACCTAATGTTCAGTCTGTGAAATCCAAATAGAATTCTAAAATGGTATTTATTGAGTACCACATACAAACATGTTTAAAATACTTACTTTCCACTCTGAAGATTTCAAGTACACATTTACCTAATAATGAGTTTGTTTACTGGTAAACATTCCAAATTATCACCCAACATTTCTGTTAACAGATTTTCCTCCATATTCCTTTAAAAATTTTACCCCATGATTTTGCCTGGTAATGAGGAAAACTTAATGGGTGTACTTTTTTTTTTTTGCACAGTCTAATTTGTGGCATTCAGTACCTTCTTTTTTCAGAAAAATGTGTCTTATATTGCTTACCTGAGGATCAGACTCAGCATCTTAAAGATTCTGTTGCTGTCGTTTGGGGCATCCAGGGCAGCATTTTGAGAATTGCTGTTGATAAGAGCCACAGTTTCTTTTCATAAAACATACTCTGGTTTTGATGAGTCTTTCAAAGTCTTAGGTGAAGATTCTTCAAATTTATTCTACAGTATTGGTTTGCAGGTTGAAGTGATTTTAGGACATTAGTGTAATGCAGATTCTTGCATTGCAGTGTTTTCCATGTGTAGAAAAACAATGTGCCTAAAATCTGTAATTCTTTAAAACTGCCTGTGTTTCATTATGAGAGTTGGCTTTGTGTAATTACATTGAGACTTAACAACCTATAAAGTGAAAGTACTGCAGGTTTTAAGATCCCTTCTTCTCGAGTTGCAATCCTTTTAAACAGTGTACCCCAGGATGGAAAAAGCTCCATGGATGACATGCACAATTACATTTATTAATGGCTGCTCTACATCACATGTCCCACATTTTGCCACCACCTCTGTTTTATGTATAATTCATCATTCTTTTGCCTGCAGACTTTTGCAGTGCCTTGCAATACTTAGAATCTTTTCAGATTTTTTGCTGGAAAGAAAAGTAGTCTTCTAAAGTTTGAAGATGGTGAGTAGTGTACTGCTGTCTCCATGCTGACTGCAGTAGTTGGGTTAACATATATGTTATGTATACATTATGTATATGTAACGTGTGTAAGTTTAAAAATACAGAAAAAAGTGAGCTTGTGCAGAAATGAAGAAGTCAGTGTTATTCACATCACTGTGGGTTTTTAAGTTATTTTTTCCATTACTTAAATGTTTGATTCAGATTATAGTCATTTTGACTGTAAATATTAGCTAGTTTTCTATCTAGGGGGTTTGCATCATTTCATAATTTTGCTAAATCATATAATAGTGCTGTTTTCATCCTTGCCGAGGTACTTTTCCTCCCCAGAAATAATTAATTCTTGACGTAAAGCTCAGAAATTCCCTTCTTACTTAACAAAGAGCCTACTGTATAACAAGGGCCTTCTACTCATTTCCAACACACACATACAAACCTGTCCTTTCCGTTTTCCTTCTTGTAGAAGAGAAAAGGGTTATACTAAACCATCCTACCTGTAAAGTTTATTTGGGGGTAGTCTGTACGTCCAACCACCATGTTTACTTCTCAGAGTGCAAGTCTGATGAACAGTACTGTATCTCCATATGTGGCAATGTGAGCATTTCATCATGAAGTACCTGCTGCTATGTTTGTGAAGTTGGGTGTAACATCATAAGAATATGAAACCAGTATTGGTGTAAATCTAATGAAAATAAGCCTAATGTATATTTGTAGCAGTCTTGAATCTCTATTTAAGGCAATTTGCTGTAGTATAACAAATAACCATTTTGTTTTTCATCCCTTTCTTGCCAGTTTTATATCTAGCATGAATTCTAATGGTTTGACAGCAAAATTATCTGTGAAAGTTTAAAAGGCACTTTTCTGCTGCGATTTTTGGATTGAGTGTGGAGTGTTATGTACAGTATGATGGGATGGATCATTTTAGAACCCCAGTTTTAATTCCAGTCCAGTTACATTTGTTTATCTACCTCGTTTTCAGTGCTGTTTTAGGGTACACAAGTAAACACTGCCTGTGAAACTTGCTTTTTTGCCTTGATTCTCGGTATTCTTTCAGGTTCTAATCTGGCCTGCCTTCTTGTTCCAGTGCTAGCTATGAGTTTGAAATGAGAGGGACCATCACTCTGCCACCAATCTCTGTTTAAGTGATGAGAGCCACGTGCCTCTATGAAGTAAGCTTTGGGGATTTGAGGATGGAGAGCAGAGAAATAAATCCAGTTGGTGGCAATGAAGGACTTAATTATCGGAGTTAGTGGTAAAATAAACAAATGGTAAGAAATTACCTAAATTAGACAGTCCAGTGCCTGTAACTTTGCATCTTTTATTAGAGATGCATTTGTCTGTGTGCCTAAAGGGCTATGGGTTGAAATTGCTTTAACTACCACAGTGAAATAAACCTTAACAGCAGTGGCCTGTCATTCAGCATATTAGCATACTGCTAGGTATTTGCAGTGATATTTTGTTACCTTAAAATGGCCATATGTGCTTTTAGTTGAATTGTAGTTATTGGTGACTGTCTGTCCAATCTCTAAAGTTTATCAGAGGCATTGACTTTCTTCTTTGCTGTCTTTTCTGAGTGATAAACATAATGCATTCCTTTTTTTTCCCCAGAAAACTGAGCAAATGTTTGTAAATCACGTTGTTTCACGTGTTTACTGTGTATAACACTACAGCATATTTAATGTTAGTAAATACTGTATTTCAGGCTTCAGTGCACAAGTACATTCCTGAAGTATACTTGCCATCAGTTTGAGATTCAGTTATTTAATCTTGTTTGATTCAGAAAAATCTTGAGATATTTGAGGTGGTGTGCAGGCCATTTTCTAGAATTGATTGTTCATTTTTCATCCTGTAGTTTGTTGGGGATTTGTTTTTCCCCCCTTTGTTTAGAAGATTAACCAGTTGCAGGGGGTGCATAGAGAAGGCTATTGGTTTGGTAAGTATAATTTCTAGGATTGAAATTTTAAAAACACAAACAATCCAGACTGTAAAATGGTGACACTCAAACTTGATAAAACTCTTTGAAGTAAAATTAGTGTGAAATTTTTTGGAGCCAAATGCTTTCAGGTCACCCTGGAAATAGTCTTTGTATGTGAAGGATGAACACAAACATTGGTCAGGGACCTTGACAGCCAACATAGGCAGGGGCCTGGGATAGTAACTAGGTTACACTGAAGTTATTTTCAACTGAGATAGTTGGAAGATTATACAAACCAACAGCTCCCATTCTGGAAGGTTTTCTTTTAATTTAAAAAAAAACAAACCTCAAACCAAAAGGCTAAAAGTCAAGCAAGAAGGGAAGAGAGAAACTGGGCTCTTGGAAAAAAAAAGTGCCAGTGTAAAATAAAACTTCTAAATGCGTGCTTATCATCCTTCCAGGTTTTTTTTTTTAATTTTTATGTTGCATTTCTTCTCCACTATAATTTCAGATTTCAGATTGAAGTTTGTGGTTCAGAAAATACCTTCAGCAGAAATAGTGACTGATCAGAAAGTGCAGTTGTTCAAGGTCTGTCATGCTCAATCAGTTAAAGCTGTAATTTGTTTGATATGAGTATTAAGCATGCAGACCTAGTGCAGCATGGGAGCCACTCAGGAAGTTTATGCAATTAATAAACTTTCATGCATAATTTACTATAAAGTATGCAGAATTTCAGCCACTTCTCTACACTTAACATTTAGTTGTATATGTGAACTCTCCTTTCTTAATCGGGGAATGTAGCATTATATGGAATGTTAAACCTAATTTTAATCCTTCTTGACATTAACATTTTTTTTGGGGGGTAAACCAAGTGATCTGCCTTTAAGCAGGTGTCTGATTTTGGTTCTTTGAAGCTGTGATTTTTATTTCATTTGTACCCAGCCATTGTTAAGTATTTTGTTTTGTTTCCTGGAAATTTTGTTTTGAAACAGAAAATAAAGGCTGTGTTAAAATGAGTATGTCATCTTATTAAAATGCTGTCATAGTTACCGGAATCATCTGGCTTAAACTGGTTCTTCATTTATCAAATCCGACTTAGCAGATTTTTAAAATTTTAGTCCTGTAGATATGCTGGCTGAACAAACTAACCAAACTGTGTATTCCCTCTTGATTTATAGCTCCAACAAATTGAGTTGAACCTCTTCTTCTCACGTGTCAATGAGCCATAAGTCACTATGGTTTACTGAGTGCCTACTGTGTTAGTTAGGCTTGTGATTTTTTTTAATTCACAAAACAATCCTATAAGCTAGGTCAGTTACTGTCTCTACATACAAACTCTGAGGAACAGAGATGAAAGAATTTACCAAGGTAACATAGCTAGTAAATGGTGAAACCTGGATCCAAACCCAGGTCTGTCTAACTGCAAACTCATGGGAAAATCCCATGCCATACTAACTCTCAGATATACCCTAAGAATAATAATCAAAATACATTTAGACTGGGTTTTCAACTAATTATTGTGGTTAGTATATACTCTTTTCCTATATCTTTCATGAGATTATATCCAGTGCTTATTTTATAATTTCAGGAGTAGAAGTATGTTAATGGTACAAGCAAAGATTCAAAATGTCCCCTTTGCACAAACTTATTATGGAGTATTTCCTTCCATATTGACAGTGTCTATGGTTCACCTTTAGAACAAAGTGCATTTGGAAGTCTCCCTCCCACATCTTTCTTTTACCACCCTTCAGTGACTTGGGAAACTGTCAAATGAGGTCAGACTCCCTTGTTCATTTGATAATTTAGATAGAAGAATCATACATATGTTTATGCAAATATCCCTGGGGGAAGAATAAGAGGCCTAATCAGAAATACTCAAGATTAGATGAGGATTTTTAAAGTGTTTTTAAAAAATCTATCTATTACCTTGATTTATTGACCCAGTGGCTCCAAAGTATTTTCTTAGGTGATTCCTAAAAGGAGGATACAAGGTACATAGTAGAACAAGCACAGATTTTTTTGATTCATAGACCTCTCAAACCTCTATTTTCTCATTTGTAAAATGAGGTGGTTGTATTAAAAGAGATATGTCTCAGATTTGCTAACTGTGCTTATTGTTAGACATCTCTGTTGACTTTCACAATAAATTTGCACTTGGAAAATCAGGCTGGTTTGGAAATGGGCCCTGGTTCTTATTACAGTCAATACGGATACCTCTGGGGGGTTCAGCAGACCTGGATTTGTGTTCTAGCTTTGTGAACTTAGGAAAATTCCTTAACTTTTCAGCTTCAATTTCCTTATCTAAAAAGGATAACTGCTTCAGTGGTGGTATTTTGAGACTAAGTGAAAAAACATACACAGGGCTTAGCACTGTGCCTGGTACATAAGTAGGTTTGCTCAAGTAATAGTAACGACTATTCAAGGGACCTTACAAATCACTAAAGAGAAGAGGAAACAATCATAAAGAGGTGACAAAACTGAACCCAACCTGTGAGTCAACACGAGGTCTGTTGGTGAAAGATTGGGTATTGGCGCCAATGGTGCTAGATGATGTAATAAAGTGGGATTCAGAGGTGAAAGTGTTCACATTGGGGGAGAAGACAACATACAATCTATTTAAAATGTGCCATCATTAATGAGCACTAGATAAAAGAAGATGACAGAATTAAGTCTGTGACTAAAGAGTTTAGAATAAGCTGAAGTAGTAGCAGTTGGGGAAAAGAAGGTGGGTCTTAAGATAGGAGCTCAAGACAGAAATGAAGTAAAGCATATGGTCTGAATAGGAGCTCCTAGGACCTTGGGATAAATAGATGAAGAACTGGAAAAGACTAGTTCACAAGCATGTTACAAATGAGGAAATAGGCTCAGGAATTTAACCAGTATTTGTAAGGTTTCTCCATTCCAGCTCAGAGGTTCTCATCCCTGACTATTAAAATCACCTGGGGAGCTATTTTTAAAAATTAGTGTCTTGGTTGCACAACAATGTGAATATACTTAACAGTACTGAACTGTACACTTAAGATGGTTAAGATGGTGATTTTTCTGTTATATGTATTTTACCACAATTTAAAATAAAAATTAGTGTCTGGGTCCCATCCCTATAATTAGTATTGGTTTAAAAATCTCCTCAGGTGATATGTTAGTATCATACATACTAATCTATCTAGGGTTGAGAACCACTATCATTGTTTCCTTTACTCATCAAAGGTCCTCCCTGTTATTACTGCTGGTTCAAGAAACACAAGCAATATGGCAGCCTCATTAGACTTTCTAATGAATTATTTCCTATTACCATATGAGTTTACAGCCTCTCAAACAGACCCCAAGGATTTGGGCAATAGAAAAAGCTTCAGTAGGTCCCTTACAAAAACTGAAAAGCCAGTTACTTAAGTTACTTAAGATGGACAATATCAGAAGAGTGAATCCAATGTGAACTCTCCATGCAACGTATTTATGCTTCTCTCTACCTTTCATGATAAGAATTAACATTTATTAGGTGCTTACTGTGCCAGTTAGTATGCTAAGTGCTTCATCACATCATTTAGTCTTCACAAGCTTCTGAGGTAAGTATCATTACCATCTCCCTTCTAAGCTCCTTGACTGTCTTGAAAACTGTTTTCAGTAGGTACCAAATAAATCTGGTGAATAAATTAATGAGTCTATTTCACAGATACCTTAAGGGCTCAAGAGGTTAAGTAACTTGTTAAAAGTTATATAGCGAATAAGGAGTTGAACTGGTATTGGAGCCCAGATCCCGGCTCCAAAGCACACACCACTCTGTGACACCTACTGTCCCCTTCTGCTTCCAGGGCTTTGGCCTCTGTTATTGCTACCCTTCTCAGTGGCCTATGTCTAGCATAAAGTTTCTCCTGTGCTAAATATGTTAAGACTCTTGTGTATAAGTAATGGAAAGCCAATTTGAACAAGCTTAAGAAAAAGGAATTTATTACAAAGATGGTGGGGTCTCACAAAACCGAAGGGTAATGCAGATGGGCCTTAAGAACACACAAATCAAGTGCCTGCATGTAGACAGGATTTTTCATTTCTCCTCCTCCAGCTCAATCCCCAATTCTTTGGGAAGTTACATAAAGAGTGGTTCCTGGTGCAACCATGAGGGTAAGGTAGAGCAGGTGGTACAAAAGGGACGCTGGGGAGATAAAACAGTAGATGTTTACCTATAGTCCTCTTTTGGATTGTCCCATAAACCCATATGCCATTTTCCCCATATCTACAGCTCCATAAATGCCCACACCTAACATAACCTATGGACAACTGGAAGTCACATGCAACTACTGCATCCAGAAGCAATTACATGGCATGGACATGCCCCTTCCTCATCTAGTTTAGTGACAGTCTATATGTGGCTCCTCTTGATCGTCCAACTTCCTGATAAACTTAACTGCCACCGATGTATCTCACACAATAGTAGAGAAATACTTAGATTAACCACAAAGTTCCCTTTTAGGAAAGGAGAGGGGCACACCATTATCAGCCACCCAGTCTGAGTCTGCACCATTTCCAGCTGGATTAAGAATGAATAAAAATAAATTACGAGTATAGAAGAACTTACGGGAGTCAGTTTACTGATGCTCCTTCTTTCTTAACCAGCCTGGACTTGGGCCCACTCTAGAAGAGCAGTGATTCTCAAACTTGAGCGTGCATTGAAATCAGGTGGAAAACTAGTGAGATCTGCAAAAGCTCTCGACATAAAAAGTCCATTCAAACACCAGCGGCACCAAGAGACTTAACCAAACTTTAATATGGCTTCTAGCTGCCTGAGTCTCTGGGATGACCCATCCGGAAAAGCTCAGGGCTGTAAAAAGAATTTATAGTTTGCTCTAGCTGACACCTGACGATAGACTCCTGACCTCCCTTTCTTAGAGCATTTACCAAAAAGGACTTACAATTGTGACTTCTTCCCCGTCCCTTTGAGATGTATATGTATTTCCTAACACTAGAGTGTGTGTTTCAAGGACCGTTCCTTTGAAATGTAATCATCAGGAGGGCTAGGGCCTCTGTTTAACTGTGGGAGGACAGAATCCTAAATTCAGTAATTGCCAGCTAGCAGACACAGCTGGCCTAACTGCATTTACATTTGCCAACCCTTTTTAAGTTTTCACTTCCCTGAGTCTACTTCAGCCCCTGCTCGCTCCTCTTCCCTCCATCTCCCTTTAAAATGCTCAGTCACCTGTGCATAAATGGGAATGGAGCTCTGCTGTTTCCCTACTGTCAGTAATCTGTTCTCACTGTTTTAACTGATGTCGGGCTTTGTTTATCTTTGACATCACTTAACCACAGATTGCTGGCCCCACCTCCAGAGTTTCTGATTCAGAAGGTCTGGGGTGAGGCCGGAGAATTTATATTTCTAACAGTTCCTAGGTGCCAATGTGCTGGTCCATGTGCTTTGAGAATCACTGCTCTGGCTCATGGTCCTCATTCACCATATATGATTTTCTAGGGATACAACTTCCTCAAAACCTCATTTGACCGCCTGTTGATTTCATTTGAGGGGACTCACAACGCTAATAACAAAGTGCCAAGAATCTTGGCAACTTATGCGCTTTGAATCTTCAGATTTGCTAAAGGGAATAA